GTTTTTAGGCCATAAGGTTCAATTTTGGTCTCATCTGACCAGAGCACCTTCTTCCACATGTTTGCTGTGTCCTCCACATAGCTTCTCACAAACTGCAAATGGGACTTCTTGTGGCTTTCTTTCTTTCAACAATGGTTTTCTTCTTGCCACTCCGTAAAGGCCAGATTTGTGGAGTGCACGACTAATAGTTGTCCTGTGGACAGATTCTCCCACCTGAGCTGTGGATCTCTGCAGCTCCTCCAGAGTTACCATGGGCCTCTTGGCTGCTTCTCTGATTAATGCTCTCCTTGTCTGACCTGTCAGTTTAGGTGGACGGCCATGTCTTGGTAGGCTTACAGTTGTGCCATACTCTTTCCATTTTCAAATGATGGATTTAACAGTGCTCTGTGAGATGTTCAAAGCTTCTGATAATTTTTATAACCTAACCCTGCTTTAAACTTCTCCACAATTTTATCCCTGACTTGTCTGGTGTGTTCCTTGGCATTCATGATGCTGTTTGTTCACTAAAGTCCTCTAACAATCCTCTGAGGGCTTCACAGAACAGCTGTATTTATACTGAGATTAAATTGCACACAGGTAGACTCTATATACTAATTAGGTGACTTCTGAAGGCAATTGGTTCCACTAGATTATAGTTAGGGGTATCGGGGTAAAGGGGGCTGAATACAAATGCACGCCACAATTTTCAGATATTTATTTGTAAAACCTTTTGAAAACCATTTATCATTTTCCTTGCACTTCACAATTATGTGCCACTTTGTGTTGGTCTATAACAGGGGTGGGCAAACTTTTTGACTGAGGGCCGCAATGGGGTTTCATATATTGGACCCGGGGGCCGGACCAAGAGTAGATGAAATGATGTGTATGTGTCATCCATAGTAAGTATAGTAATATTCCCCCATAGTAAGCATAGTAATTAATCCCCCATGGTAATTAATCCCCCATATAGTAATTAATCCCCCATATAGTAATAATTCATCCCCATATAGTAATTCATCCCCCATAGTAATTCGTCCCCCATATAGTAATTCGTCCCCCATATAGTAATTTCGTCCCCCATATAGTAATTCGTCCCCCCTATAGTAATTCATCCCCCCATATAGTAATTCATCCCCCATATAGTAATTCATCCCCCATATAGTAAGTCCCCCATATAGTAATTCATTCCCCATATAGTAAGTCCTCCATATAGTAATTCATTCCCCATATAGTAAGTCCCCCATATAGTAATTCATTCCCCATATAGTAAGTCCTCCATAGTAATTCATTCCCCATATAGTAAGTCCTCCATATAGTAATTCATTCCCCATATAGTAAGTCCTCCCATATAGTAATTCATTCCCCATATAGTAAAGTCCCCCATATAGTAATTCATTCCCCATATAGTAAGTCCTCCATATAGTAATTCATTCCCCATATAGTAAGTCCCCCATATAGTAATTCATTCCCCATATAGTAAGTCCTCCATATAGTAATTCATTCCCCATATAGTAAGTCCCCATATAGTAATTCATCCCCCATATAGTAAGTCCCCCCCCTGTGTCAATTCACTTACCTTTGGTCCGCGCGTTCCTCTCGTATTCCCGCGCCGTTCTGGTCTTCAGGGAGGACTGTGAGAGGAGTTCGTCACGCTGCCCCGCCTACATCCTGACAGCTGCAGAGTCCTGACGTCCGAGAGGAGGGAGGGGGGCGGCCATCCGAGAGGGGGGGCGGCCATCCGAGAGGAGGGGAGGGGAGGGGAGAGGAGGAGAGGAGGGAGGGGAGAGGAGGAGAGGAGGGAGGGGAGCGGGGCGCCCGGCACACAGGAGAGCCGCATCTAAATTTGTAAAGAGCCGCGGCTTGCCGACCACTGGCCTTGCGGGAGCCTAGCTCCGCGGGCCGGATTAAAAGGTCCGCCGGGCCGTATACGGCCCGCGGGCCGTAGTTTGCCCATTGCTGGTCTATAACATAAAAATCCAAATAAAATACATTTATATTTTTGGTTGTAACATGTCAAAATGTGGAAAATGTCAAGGGGTATGAATACTTTTTCAAGGCACTGTAGGTCTGAATTGCATTTTGTAGTTTATGCTGACTCAATCCCATATACTAATGTAATGTTTTAGTTCTACAATATGTAGATTTTTTTATTGTTTTATTTATTATATTACATTAGAGGCTACATAATTTGATTAAAAGTGAAACAGAGATTAAAGAAAGCAGGTAAATAAGATTCAAACAATCTGGCACAACAAACATAATTTACTGTGCAATACTATATACCAATACAGTGAAGGAAAGCAAATGTGCAGATTTTCCCTATAGCATCTACTTATCTTTTTTAGGCTTTAAAAAAGAAGGAAGAAGCAGGCTGGCTGCCACAAAAACCTTAAGACTACTTTCACACTGCTTCATTGCAAAAACACAGTAAAAACACATGTCCATTTAATGGGTTTTTGCTGTGTTTCTGGTACATTTTCCACCTGTGAAAAAAAAATGTGACCCATAAAATTTACCAAAAATGCAACCATGATGTGTTTGATGCATTTTCCATTCATTTTAATAGGAAGATGCGTTTTGGTGCCTGTTTTTTTTTTTTTACCGCACAAAACATGCACCAAAAAGCAAGCAGGACTTTGAAAAACAATGGAGAACCACCTGCGCTACCCTGAATACACTATTATTCTAGGAATGGGTAGCCGCTGACACCTGGCTATACACCTGGATAGAATGGGATCAAAATTATAACAAAATTGGTGCTGCGCTCCCACACTTTTATATAAATAAAAAATTAGGTTTCAATTACACCCCTGTGAGCATTTTTCTCTCATAACACATGTGAGTGAGCATTTATAGTCTTCTTTTATATCAATCAATTAGTCTACAATCGCCTGAGCTTCTACCTCACTGACAACAACCTTCTTGACCCTCTACAGTCTGGCTTTCGCTCACTCTACTCCACTGAAACTGCCCTACTAAAACTCACTAATGATCTACTAACTGCTAAAATCAATGGCCACTACTCCGTACTCTTACTACTTGACCTCTCTGCGGCTTTTGATATGGTTGACCATCCCCTCATCCTCAAACTCCACTCTCTTGGCCTCCGAGGCTCTGCTCTCTCCTGGTTCTCCTCCTACCTACCTATCGCAATGCTCCTTCAGCATTACCTATAACGCTGCCTCCTCCTCTTCACTCCCTCTTTCTGTAGGGGTCCCTCAAGGTTCTGTCCTTGGACCCCTTCTCTGCTCCATCTACACCTCCTCCCTTGGTCACTTGATAAACTCCCATGGCTTTAAGTACCATCTCTATGCTGATGACACACAAATCTATCTTTCTACCCCTCACCCCTTCAGTCTCCTCTCGCATTACTAACCTACAAATAAGTGACATATCGGCATGGATGTCGCTCCACTTCCTCAAACTCAATCTTTCCAAAACTGAGCTCTTAGTATTCCCCCCAGCCCGTGCCCCCTCCCCTGACTTCTCCATCAAGATCAATAACACAACCATCATTCCCTCCCCTCATGCCAGGGTACTAGGTGTAATCCTAGACTCCCATCTGTCCTTTCAAATCCAATCACTGTCCAAATCTTGTAGACTTCACCTCCGCAACAAGTCCAAGATACGCCCGTTCCTAACCATGGAAGCAACTTATTCACACTCCCTTGTTATATCTCGCCTTGACTAGTGTAACTCTCTCCTCATTAGTCTACCTCATCACAGGCAATTCCCTTCTTCAGTCTATCATGAATGCTAATGCCAGACTCATCCACCTTACTAACCGTTCTGTATCTGCCACCCCTCTCTGCCAATCCCTCCACTGGCTTCCCATTGCCCAACGGATAAAATTCAAAGCGTTAACAATAACATATAAAGCCATTTATAACTCTGCCCTAAATTACATCACCAATCTTGTCTCCAAATATCACCCAAACTGTACTCTCCTCTCCTCGCACGACCTCCTGCTCTCAAGCTCCCTTGTCTCCTCCCATGCTAGTCTCCAGGACATCTCCAGAGCTTCCCCCATCCTCTGGAACTCTCTACCCCAATTTATAAGACTATCGCCTACTCTGCTCACTTTTAGGTGATCTCTGAAAACCTATCTCTTCAGGGAAGCCTATCCTGCCCTCAGTTAATAATGGAATCTTCTACTCTTCCAACCAGTCTATCCTCCACAGTTACTACCTTTTGTACCGCTAGCCCCTCCCTCCTAGATTGTAAGCTCCAAGAAGCAGGGCCCTCCTATCCCTCTTGTATTGAACTGTATTGTTTGCTGTATTGTCTCCTGTTTATATTGTAAAGCGCTGAGCAAACTGGCGCTATATAAATCCTGTATAATAATAGTAATACAAAGATCCTGTAAGAAAACCAATATCCCAATTCATGTAGAAGTTCTTGTCTCTCTTTAACTAGCAACGCACAAAGTTACTTATTAGAAATGTGTTTATAACCTCTGTCCTATTGAGGTAATGATACCTTATAAACACACAGCACTTTTTTCTGTTTTTTTACAGTCTACATAACACAGCAATGCCTAGTAAGACAGTTCTACCCACAGCGCAAGAGGCTCTACCAGGACGAGCTGACCCCCTTCAAGTGTCAGGTAAGAGCAGGGTGAAAGTTCCTAAGTAGGACCATTGTTTTTTCTATGGGTTTTCATGGAAAACAGCATGGTGTTCACCCTGATCTTAGTCCAGTAATCAATAATCTACCCATGATCCTGATAGATCACTGCCATATTGCCTGTTTCTATGCTTGAACTGGATGGACTTTTGTCTTTTTTCAGCCGGACTAACTATGGAACTGTTTCTGAAATCTTCCTTTTTATTTAATCACTAATGTATTTTTTTTTTCCCCCAGCCAAGCATGCCATTAATGGAAACACAATGACTGAGCCATTTCCAGTTGGTCAAGAGTTGGCAATGTTTGGTGAGTTCTCAAAGACGGGATTCATAGAACAGAAGGTATGGAACTGTGTTTCTCTATATGCTGATTGTTCTTCCTGATGCTTTTTAGGTATGGGCTGCTTTTGGGGAGTAGAGCGCCTGTTCTGGATACAGAACGGTGTCTTCTCGACACAGGTAGGATATGCAGGAGGGTACACGCAAAATCCCACATATAAGGAAGTGTGTACAGGTAATTTTTCTCTCTTTTTCATACTTCTATGTCTATTTGCCCCTTTGTCCTGTATCATATTTTAATAGAAAAGCGCCTTTCATAAAAATTTTGGCCAAAAGGTTTTGAATTTTACCCTGGAGGGTAAAATTTCTACAAAGACATTTACATCAAGGCTTGACAAATCCCATGCGCCAGGTCGCCATGGCAACTATAAATTGGGTCCTGGTGCTTGGGCTTTTGTCAGCCCATTCACTGTTGGTCTGAATAATGTGTCTGCCTGAAACCCAGACACATACAGACAGGTATGTGTCTCAGAGCGGGGCCTGGCGGGAAGGTGAGGAGAGCCCGTCGAAGCAGGACAAGCAGGGGAATGTTGAGGACCTCGAGAGGAGCGGAGGAGAAGACAGTGGCAACACCCAACCTGTGAAATACTGGTAGAGTGGATCGGGGTCCTGAGCTGTGATCTTGCCTTGCTACATGCAACTGGTGATGGAGCCAGCAAGCAGCAGGAAGGTGGGGGGACTCCGTGACACAACACTGACTCCTTCACCAAGGATGATGTAGTGATCAGGGAACCCTGCTGATAGGATCTGGGTACATTACAAGCATCTGAAAGCTGTAGAACATTATACAGGTGTAATTTTTGGGGGGTTACCTGGTGTAGTATGTGGGAGATAGGGGAGTCCCCTGCTCTCTCCCCCCCATCCTCCCACTCTTACCTCTTCCTCTCTCACCCCATCTCTCACCCCCCTCTATCTCACCCCCACTTACCCCTTCTCTCTCCCCCCTCCCCCCACACTCTTTCAACCCCTTTCTCTCTCCCCCCTCCCCTTTCTCTCTCCCCCTCCCCTTTCTCTCTCCCCCTCCCCCCCCCCCCCCCCTTTCTCTCTCCCCCTCCCCTTTCTCTCTCCCCCTCCTCTCCCTCCCCTCCCTCTCGCTCCCCCTTCTCACCTCCTTTTATCTCCCCTCCCTCTCTCTCCTTCCTTCATCTCTCTCCTATGTTCCCATCTCTTTTTCCCTGCAGGGCACTGTGGCAGGCTAGACAGGACTATTATTATATGGGAAAAATAATTGGGGGGAGTGACACTATGATTTACTGCACCAGGTGACACCAACCCTAGTGACTCTACTGGTGTCAGCACTCTCTGGGAACACACAGCTTCCAACCGCCACCTTTCAGTCATTGCCTGAGCACTGTTTGCTGTCCTGTCACATCCCTGTCACCCCCCCCAGACAGGGGGATCAAAGGATAAGCCTGACTGCTCCAGGGCGATAAGAGAAGAGTGCAGGTTCTGACCTCCCTCCAGCCTTCTTGGAGGCTGTGCCTGGACACCTGTTTTCTACTGTCACCCATCGAGGATAGGATCTGGGTCAGCAATCGAGGTGGGAGATTAGGGTGTGTGGTGTTGGCCAATGTGCCCAGGCTGTGTTGGAGTGGATCTGACAGGAAGACCGAAAACTGTTGTGGTGGTGGGGGGGGGGGGGGGGGGGGGGGGGGGGGGGGGGGGGGGGGGGGGGGGGGGGTTTGTGAAAATTGGTGAGAGGGCAATTGGCATAAAAAAAGGAGTTTCTCTCTATAATAGTTTTTGTCATTCTTTCTGGCCAGCCTATGACCCTGATGTAAAAGCTTTACATCAGGGCTACTGGCTCACTGCTCTGCTGTAAGTTAGGGTTAGGGAGTTAGGTGGGTTAGGTGTCGCAAATTACTTGTCTTGTCCCGGACGCTGACAACCCACGCTATACTTAAAAAAAAAAAAAAAAAAACTGGCTTCTAACTTTTTTAGTGGGCTCCTAGATTCAAAGTAAATTTGACAAGCCCTCATTTACATATTGCAAGGATTTCAGCAAACAAAACCGTGGATCATTATCTGCTTCTGTTCTGTATATTTCTCTGTCTGCCAACATCATCCCAGTATAACCACTTCGACCCGAGGACGTCATATAACGTCCTATAGGTGGGAAGTAACTTAACTAAAAGTTGAAGCCTAAGTTAATTTAAAAAAAATAGCGCAAGGGACAGCGCCTACATGAGAAGTTTCACTTGTGCTGATGAAGGCTGTCCTGGTCGAACTATTCCATCTTCTGCCCAACCTCCACCCCCCCTTTACACACGCACACGCTTGCGCACATGCCCACAGTGGAACACATCCAGTGCTACAGGGGTAATATAGCCACTGGATTTGTCATAGGTGTGCTGAATATGCCTGCCCTTTCTGACCTCCTCCTTCATTCATAGAAGCTGTACTATAACTTCCATCAATGAAAAGCGATCCATGAATGGAGGAAATGGACCTTTCATTCTTCTTCCATTCATAGAGTGCTTCTCATAACTGGAAGCTATAGTACAGCTTCTATGAATGGATGAAGAGGGCAGAAAAGGACATGCATATGACAAGTCCAGCAGCTGTAATAACCTCTGCAGGCACCAGCACAGGGAACACTTCTCATTAAATGTAAGTAATGTCCCTTGTGCTGATTTAAAAAAAAAAAAAAAAACTTAAACTTAGGTTTGAAACTGGATTTAATAAAATACCTGTTAGCACATAGATTTAATAATTTACATGACATATGGGTGTGTGGGGGGAGAACTGTTTGTAAACAATACAGTTTCTCCCTGTCAGCTCCTGCACACTGCTTTGGATGGCTGTGACCGGGAAGCACAAACACACACTTCATAAAACAGCACACAGTTAACCCTTTGATCACCCCACATGTTAACCCCTTCCTGCCCAGTGCCATTAGTACAGTGTCAGTGCTCTTTTTAGCACTGATCACTGTATTGATGTCACTGGGAATATCAGTGACACCAAGTCAGTTACCCCCCAGTGTCAGAATGCCTGCCGCAGTCTCGCTATAAATCGATCGCCGCCATTACTAGTAAAAATAAATTAATTTTAAAAATCCCAGTATATATACTGCCATTTGTAAGTGCTATAACTTTCACGTAAACCAATTAATTTACACATATTGGGATTTTTTTTTTTAGACGTAGCAGAATACATTTTGGCTTTAAAGTTATGATGAAATTAGGCTTTTTTAAAATTTTTTTACTGGATATGTTTAATAGCAAAAAGTAAAAAATACACCTTTTTTCTCCAATTTTTTTTTTTTTTTTTATAGCGCAAAAAATAAAAATGCACAGGCGATCAAATACCATCGAAAGAAAGCGTGAAAAAAAGGACGTAAATTTAATTTGGGTGCAGCGTTGCATGACCATGCAATTATCAGTTAAAGTAACGTAGCACGTAACGCAAAAAATGGCCTGGTCAGGAAGGGGGGTAAATCCTCTGGAGGGCAAGTGGTTAAAGACTACCCTAGAAATCGTCTTGGCTGGGGTGGCAAGTCATAAGTTACCAGTTGTATGACACAAAATATGTCACCAGAGGGCAGCCTAGGACTTGCATTGGCTATGAGTTCAACTGATCTCTATGAGAGAGAATTTGGATGCTAAAAGCAATCATGTAGTCAGAGGTGTAAGCAACATGTTTGCCCACCTACTGTTGGATATGATAAAAGGTACCTATCCATAAAATGTGATGACTGCATTATTTTTTTATTTTTTTATACAGGTACTTGTATAGCGCCAATAATTTTGGCATTGCTTGGCATAGTGTAAGTTCGCATCAGTCTCTGCTCTCTAGGAGCTTACAATCTAAGGTCACTTTCTCATATATATACATACACATACTAGGGCCGATTTAGACAGGATTAACAGCATGAAAGTGGGAGGAAACCGGAATACCCACAAAAATACCCATAGAACATGCAAACTCAATGTGGATAGTGTATTGGCTGGGTTTCACTCCAAGGACCCCGGTGCTGCAAGGCAGAAGTGCTAATCACTGTGCTGCCCACATTCACCTGTTGATCCTGCCAGTACCACACTTTCTATCATATCAGGGTGTCAACTCTCAGTAACTGTATTGAGAAGAATTGCTGTCTTCTATAACAGTAAGGGTGATAGAACTACACAACATCTCCCCTTCTCCTTATCTCTATGAACTAGGGGGTAGATGTTTTGTAACCCTAATGATTCCTGGTAACATTGTTTGAAATAACACTGTACAATAGCGATGGTCAACATGCTTCATATAGGGAGCTGCAAGTTCTGGCCACTAGCAAAGGAAAGCGCATAATATCCAGTGAATATAGTGCTATCAGAGGCTGCAGATATTGAACAGAAGATGGTAAAAGCTATGGGCAAGCCACAAAAGATAGTCAGGGAGTGCAGACATATTATAAGAGCTTCTGGAGACTGAGGGCATGCTTTAGTACAGCCTTTCTCAACTGGGGTGCCCAGAGGTTTCTTCAGGGGTGCCTTGGCAAAATGTCTAAACATTGCCCAAAACTTGTATACAAGGCAGCAGGTGGAACAAGCCTGCCTTATAGTTACACAAAGAGGTTTTCATTGTGCACCATTATGACCTTCTAAATGAATAACAACAGGAACAGCACCTCTGGAGCTCAAAAAAAAAAAAAAAAGGAATATGTTAAAGGAGAGCTGCTATCAATCCAAACAAGTGCAAACCACCAAAGTAAAGAATATCAAGACAGCGCTCTTCCCAAAAATATCTCTTATAATCTCTTATAAAAGTGCTGAAAAACAACTATAGAAAACTTATAATTAAAAAGTGTGGGAAAGTGTCCAAAACTATAATGTGTGGAAAACTATTCAACCAACATAGCTTTGGTTGTTCAGCTCCTGACAACCAATGACAGTCATCAGTTGATCAGGAGGATGTCAGTTGCCTGCACAGCATCCTAGTTTGACCCTCCCCTGCCCCTCTCCATCAGTGCTGGGGTCACATTAGCTCAGTGATGGAGAAAAACTGACGGAGAAGAGAAACACTGGAATACTAGTCAGTGCCAGTGTGCAAAAGTGTATTTGCTTTGGAAGAATAAATCGCCACTAATACTGGGTGTCCTACATGTGTGGATGTTGCTGCGTTATATAAAATTATTAGAATAGCTTTTCACATTTTGGAATGGGGTGCCGGAAGATTGTCCATAATTTTAAAGGTGCCTTGAGACTGTCCATAATTTTAAAGGGTGCCTTGACTGAAAAAATGAGACTTGAGATGACTACTATTATAGCTCCTCTACAAATCAGGGCTTCTACATTTGTGCTCTTTAAAATGACTGGTGTCACGTATTATTATTATACAGTGTTTATATAGCGCCAAAAAGTTTGCTCAGCGCTGTACAATATAGTGGGGGACAGTACATGAGACAATAACAGTAACAAAACAATATACGAGAGGTTTGAGGGCCCTGCTCTTTCGAGCTTACAATCTAGGAGGGAGGGGATAGTGGTACAGGCGGAAATGGCTGTGGGGGATGGAGTGGTGGGAGGAGTGGAGGAGATCAGCTGTTAGGTGAGGGTAGGGTAGGCTTCCCTGAAGAGATGGGTTTTCAGGGTGCGCCTAAAGGTGAGGAGGGTAGGTGACAGTCTGATGAATTGGGGTAGTGAGTTCCAGAGGATGGGGGAAGTCCTGGAGAAGTCCTGCAGTCGGGCGTGGGAGGAGGAGACAAGGGAGCTAGAAAGTAGGAGGTCTTGTGAGGAGCGAAGAGTACGGGTTGGGTGGTATATGGGTATCAGATCGGTGAGGTAGTTTGGGGCAGTATTATGAACAGCTTTGTACGTCAATGTTAGTAGTTTGAATTTAATGTGTTGGGCAATCGGAAGCCAATGGAGGGAATGCCAGAGGGGGGTGGCGGAGTCGGAGGAGTTGGTAAGGTGGATGAGTGTGGCCGCTGAGTTCAGGATAGACTGAAGCGGGGATAGTCCGTGATGAGGTAGGCCGGTGAGGAGGGACTTGCAGTAGTCGAGTCGTGAGATAATAAGGGAGTGAATGAGTTTAGTAGTGTCTGGGGTTAGGAACGAACATATTTTAGAGATGTTGCGGAGGTGGAGCCTGCATAAGTTAGCCAGCAATTGGACAAGGGGTTGGAAGGACAGATTTTTTATTTTATATATTTATTTATTTCAGGCACTTATATAGCGCTGTCAATTTACGCAGCACTTTACATATATATTGTACATTCACATCACTCCCTAACCCTCAAGGGGCGTACAATCTAAGGTCCCTAACTTACATTCATACATACACATACTAGGGACGATTTAGACAGTAACCAATTCACCTACCTGCATGCCTTTGGAGTGTGGGAGGAAACTGAAGTACCCGGAGGAAACCCACACAGGCACAAGGAGAACATGCAAACTCCAGGCAGGGTGGTACCGTGGCTGGGATTCGAACCTAGTACTGCCAGGCGGAAAATGCTAACTATTTAGCCACTGTGCTGCCCAATTTGAGTCTAGAGTATAATATTTCCCCTCGCTAAATGCACTATAAAAGATCAAAGGGGGTAAAAAGATATAATGATAAAAAGGATAGACGGCACAGAAAAGTAAAATGGTGTGAAATAAATAAACCAAACCGTTTAACAATTAGAAGCCAGCCTAAAGCTGGTTAACCGATGCACGTTAACGCGCGGTACATTGCGTTAATGCAGCAGCTTCATTTTGAACACGCTGCCACCTCACCTCAACGTGGCACCTAATCCTTTCTTGGGGACATAACATCTGGTAACATTGGAATGCAATGCTGTGTGTTGGCGTGTTTCAGTGCAGTGCATTGCCTTAGTTCATTGGGTTGCCGTTCACAATGAATATTACCAAGAACAATTGCAACAAGGTTTAACATACTTTTGCTTTCCTCTCAAGGTCTCACTGCACATATCGAGGTTGTCCGGATTGTATTTGACCCTAAAGTTATAACATACAAAGACCTGCTGACGTTGTTTTGGGAGAACCACAACCCAACTCAAGGTGCATTGCTTGTTCATGCATATTTAAAATGGGGCGGTCATCAGTGAAGATACCTTCATAGAAAACTTTCAACAAATAAACATTTTTAAATCATTTTTATATCATACTCAGCACTAATAAAATGAAGGAAAAAAAAAAACATTATTACCACTTGCAGCCAGAAGAGAGAGCTATATGCGCAAACAGGAGCAGCCTCTTTGCAGCTCTTGTGTTAAAAATAGACCTGAATAACAGGCCTGCTCCCTTCCTCTAAATCATGGGGTGTCAAACTCCATTTCATTGTGGGCCATATCAGCATTATGGTTGCCCTCAAAGGGCCAGTTGTATCTGTAAGACTAGATGTCCAGAGCACCCCCCCCCCCCCCCCATTACATCAGATGTCAAGAGTCCCACACCCTTCCTAGCATCAATGTGCATCCCCTTTGGGGGGCAGAGCTAGAAAGCAGAAAGTGCAGGGTCTGGAGGAGGACCAGGGGAGGAGTGGAGTCAGTTACCAGAGTCTGTTGAATGCTGAGACCTGGGGAGGCAGAGATGAGGGAGTGCTGCAGCTGCACACAAAGGTGCAGGATTTGGCAGAGGAATTCTATTCTCCTCTCTGCTGCCAACTGCTGAGACAAGATGGGGGCAGAGAGAAGGGGGTACCTGCAGGAGAGGTGCAAGAGCCACATGATATAGCATGGAGGACCGGATTCGACCCGCGGGCCTTGTTTGACACCTGTGCTCTAAATGGTAATGTTTTATACAAGCAGTGCTGGGCTTTCTTACAAGAAAGCCCATCAGGCATTGCAAATAGAGTGTCGTAGTAATATTAATTACCCTGTAATGTTTGTATATTATATATTCTTGACATTATTTACAAAAAAAATATTTTTAAACAGTTACAAACCTAAAGTATAACTTAAGGTAAATTATTTATTGTTTTTGTTTCAAATAGAGTGCAGAAAGAGTAGAACACCTGTCAAGGTCTAATTTCTGCCTGTGCCCCCCCCCCCCCCCCCCCCCGTTAGGGAGCTTTACCCTCTCTACTTGTCCTATTTGCCATTATCACGAAGAGTGAAAGTGAAAGAAAATCCCAAATTGTGGGTTGTCACCAGAAAAGGAGGAAAGTGGAAACCTTCCAATGGGGACAGAAGTTCTGGTGACAACCAGGGATTCCTCCACTTTTTTCCTTTGACTATGGACAAGAAGGAAAATCAAATCTCCCCAAGGGGACGCAGATAGCAAGGGATTTAACCCTCCCTTACTTTATTCAAAATGAAAAAAAGTTGAGCTTTTAGTTCTACTTAAAATAAAATGACTCTATCTTGTTTTCCTCGGTCACAGCACTGCCAACACCTATGCACAGTTTGATCCTGGTTGTTTGGTGTTGAATCTCATGGCTCTTGTATATTTTACAAAAAATACATAAATAAAATCACTCGAACCCCATTATAAGAATGATCAATCTGCAGAAAATCAGAAAGGAGCACAAAAGTCTACATTAGAAATGCTTTTATTTCGACCTAAGACCGTAAAATTGGACAAACCTATATTACAGATTCTTTTTTCATCAGTAATTTTATTATTCATAAAATCTGTTGACCGTAAACATAACTGAACTTGCTGATTTTGTTCTTGAAAGCATTTCACCCACAGCAAATGGTTTCTTCAGTTTTGATGAATAATCACTAAAGCGGAACTATACTCACCTTGGCTCCAGCAATGTGACGTCCTGGAGCTCCTCACCAGCCACTGGCATCTTCAAGTAGCCAGTTTCAGGGTATTGAGTGCCCCAGCCTCTTTCATAGGCCAGGCCGATATGACAACACTCCCATGCATGACCAGGAGTTCAGTTTGCTTCGGCATTGCCGAATCTTTACAGTGAGCTGTGCATGCGCAGCTCACTGTAGCAGGGAGGACAGGCAAATCGGTAAGTTTAATGCAGAGGAGACAAAGGCAAATAGACTGTGCACTGTGCAAAAGCAGTTGCTCTAGAGCAGTGGTTCTCAACCTGTGGGTCGCGACCCCTTTGGGGGTTGAACGACCCTTTCACAGGGGTCGCCTAAGACCATTGGGAAAACACATATTTGCAATGTGTAGAAAGCAGCTACCATGTAAAAAGCAGCTACCGTGTAGAAAGCAGCTACCGCGTCGAAAGCAGCTACTGTGTTCAAAGCAGCAATATTGGAGGTAAAATGACATTACATGAATTATAATTACTGGGTAAATAATTTTATGGTTGGGGGTCACCACAACATGAGGAACTGTATTAAAGGGTCGCGGCATTAGGAAGGTTGAGAACCACTGCTCTAGAGCTTAATAAATGAGCAGAAGCTCTGTTGACTTCCGTCATCCAATCATGTGCAAGCAAATGTGCATGATTGGGTATTCCTTGCAAAGTGAATCTTTTTCTCATTTACAAAACACTGGAGCAATTGCACTTACAAAGTGCAACTGCACCTTGTATGGTGCATAGTCTATTTGCCTTTAGTAAGTCAACCACAAAGCATGTCTGTTCTGCATTAAAAATCCTACCAATTCAAAGCATGTCTCTTCTGCATTCAAAATCCCACCAATTCACTTTTTTGTTATTTACATGAGGTTTTACTTTAAAGTATATCTAAACTCAAGAAAAAAAATGGATTATATTGCAGCTTGCCATTCCTTAGAGGTTTTCTTTTGTTTTAGGCTTTTTATTTATATGTTGTCACTTGGTGATCCTGTGAATAACACATTTCCTGTCTTATGGGTGACAGTGCTGCCTCAATGTACTGTTTCTGTGGATCAGTGTTGTCACCCTAGGACAGAAGTGTGTCAGGATTACAGGCATATTTTACAGAACAGAACTGGAAACACAATTTCTGGCAGGATCAACAGGTATATTTTTATACTTGTAGAAAATGTTTTCTGCCTGAAAATGAAAACCAATGCAACCACTATATCTAAGGACTGGTAAATTGCAATATATTATTATAATACAGGAGTTATATAGCGCCAACAGTGTGCTCAGTGCTTTACAAAATAAAGGAAGACAATACAGCAACGATACACGTTCAATACAAGAGGGTTAGGAGGGCCCTGCTCCTTGGAGCTTACAATCTAGGAGGGAGGGGCTGGTGGTACAAAAGGTAATAACTGTGGGGGATGGACTGGTAGGAAGAGTAGAAGATTTCATTATTAGCTGAAGGCAGGATAGGCTTCCCTGAAGAGATAGGTTTTCAGAGATCGCCTAAAAGTAGGCAGAGCAGGCAATAGTCTGATAGATTGGGGTTGAAAGTTCCAGAGGATGGGGGAGGCTCTGGAGAAGTCCTGGAGACGAGCATTGTTTCGGTGTAGATGTATATTGGATCCAGTTGTGTTTTTGATATACTACCACTAGACAGCCCATGCCGTGGATGAGTTTAAGACTTCATAGATATTATTCATGATGCTTCATATTTCCATGTTTTCTACTACTTGACTTAAACTTAAGTAGATTGTATAACCAGATCATAACTTGTTAGATTTAGCCCAACAAGTGGAAAACCTTACAATGAGAATATCATTTTTGATTGAAAAGATACTTTTATTACAGAAGCATCAAAAACAACATGATACGTGTAATCGGGGTACATCTCACCCTGTACTGCGACGCAGCGCACCACATAGCAATACAGTTCAAGCATACAATAAATACATTCAGAAATAAATACATTCGCTCAGCGGTATGATGCCTGATGTGATGTGCAGAGGATGAATCCCCAGACCGCCACGTCATGCATGACGCCGCTTACCCCAAAAACCATAGCATCCTGATACACAGTACTAAGTCATGCAATAAACGAAAGCGAAAAACCGAAAATCACAGTTTACAATAGGCATCGGGTGTGTGGGGGGGGGGGGGGAGGAAGGGGGAAACACAGGCCCGAAGCTTTATTGAAAGACAAAGACACGCAAGGGGGAGTAGGGGGAAGGGGGAAATCTTCAGACGTCCTCTTCCTCCTTAAAGTCCATCAAGGAATAGTCTCTGAGCAGACTGAGGATCAGTCTGCGGCAGTCCTGAATGGACATCCTCTCCCGCTGGTGGATGAGGCGCTTTCTGGCGCACCATAAAGCGTCCTTAAAACAGCACAGCACCCGCCAGGCACCGTCAATGTCCTCCAGAGAAAAGGTTCCACAGAACAGTCCATTCAACACCCCGAAGTGAGTGATGGCTGTCTGTGGCACAAAGTCCTTGAGTTCAGGTTCCAGGGCCCCCAACAGGGCCTGAGCAAATGAGCACTCCCAGAAAACGTGGTAAGACGTTTCCTCGTGGATGATGCAGAAGGGGGGCAGTGTCTGTATCTGCTCAGGTTCCTGGCATGCATAAATGTCCTGAGAGGCAGTCCCCCCTGGATAGCCATCCATGCCAGGTCTTTGTGCCTGTTGGTGAGGATGTTGGAAGAAACATTCCTCCAGACCACCTTACAGGTGTCTGAAGGCAGGCCTGGAACCGACTCCAAAATGTCGCTGGCTCGGATGAGCTTGTAGATAGTCTTTGGCTTCCACAAGTCAGGCTTGACTCCCTGCAGCCCTTAATGAGAATATCATTGTTTCCCTAACATGACACTCCATCTGTCACTGCAGGAATGAAGCAAGGACAGGATGTCGGCAGTCAGTACCGCTCAGTGATTTTCACCTATGGAGATCAACAGAGAGAAGCAGCTCTTTTATCAAAGGAGAACTTCCAAAAGGTAAACACTCTATCTACATTCATACATTCCATAGAACAAGTTTGGTCTGTTGGCCGGGAACCAAAGTGGGGTGTCCCTGAATTTCATTTACACCTGTCTAAATCAGTGGTGTCAGACTAGTGACCCAGTGCAGTCCGATGTCCATCTCCTGAAGTCTTTGTTTTGTTTTTTTTTTTACTCTACAAAGTTGGAGAAGTAAATGAGGTGTTCAGCAGTGGACATCACAGCTGGTTCCAGCCTTTCGCTGGGCACTGCTACTGCTCAGAATGTCTTATGGTGACACTGTTGGCTTGCATCCAGGACTGGATTCACCATTAGGCTAGGTTTGCACTTGTGCGGGTGCAGGACTGCGTGCAAATTGCAAGCTTTTCCACACCTGTAGCACAAATGTGCTGCTGTTAGCAGAGGCGTGGGGGTGCCATCGATTCTTAATGTCACCCCCACAGCGCGGTTTCCTGTGCTAGGAACTACATAGCACTATGCAGACTGTCATTTTGGAAAAGGTGCAAGGATGGTTTCCCTGTGTCTTCCTTAGGTACAGCAGTCCATTCAAATACGCAAACAGGACCACTGAGAAACTGGCATAGTGTGATCCTAGCCTAGGGCGCATTAGACACTTGCCTATAGATGACAGGGGCTAAACAGTCAGTGTTTACCTGTACAATTAATGGCCACTTTTTTTTTTTACATCAGGAGGGATAGTCCTCTCATTTTAGGTGTATGTCGATGGACTTGAGTACAATTAGCCTGTTGGTTTTTTTTACATGCAATTACTGCCAATAGCTATAGCTGCTAGCAGTAATCATAGCGTTCTGCTGGCCAGGAATGCTATGCTCCTGTAGTAGAAGGAAATAAAAATCCAATTATCTATGGCTTCCCTTATTCTGCTTGAGATATTACAGTAAGGCAGGCCATACACACTTATTTTTGATTTTTTTTGTTCAGCCTGCAGGCCTGCAAAATCCCTTGCTGGGCTGCCAGCTGTCAGAATCCCCAAACATTAGCTGCATCTGATTGATTTTTCGATTGAAGGATGTTGGGTGGATAGGGGCTAAAAGGGTCCCCTACTAAGTGAATTTTGCCCAGTTTATCAGGACATGTCTGAAATTCAAACAATGTAAGGCCAGCATAAGCGTGCACAGGGCAGCTCTGAATCTCTGAAACAGTCAACAGGTATTTTTTGCACTTTTATAGAATGATATTCAATTGTATATTTACCAGTTTTATGACAGCAGTACCCATATATGCAGCTGCAGGCTAGGGGGACATTAATGCCCAGTTTCCACATATGTGTTTCTCTGTCTTGTTCTGGGGCGTGCTTAATCAACTTTCAGAGCTGTGACTGAGCTGTCACTGACAGCTCACAGTCAACTTCTTGCATGAGTAAGACAGGCTCCTGATGACATCAGCATTGTGCAGTCAATGCTGCATGATCAAGACACTACTACCTGGTTTTGGCATTAAAACCTATTTAAAGTGCCAACTATCGCCAATGTAAAGGGATTAAGAGGAATTAAATAATAAAATATACCAGGATTCCCAAAGCTCTGGGTCTGACAATACAATATTGAGATAATGACCCAAATATAAGTAATGCTGACTCACATAACAATATAAATTGGTGTCCTCCGGACCCTAATAGTATATAGATCTGGAGAAAAAGAGAATAACCACAGTGGGTAAAGGACCCACGGGTCAAGGGGGTCCAAGTGAGGACAAACTGCAGCCTAAAAGTAAATATAATAAACAAAAAATTTATTGCAGTAAAAAATCACACATAAGGGGACATGTTTGGCATGAGGGACCAAAACACAAGGGTTACCTCACCACCACCAGGGGAAGGAATAGAAAAGGAATGGCAAGATCGTCCATGGTGACGCTAGGCATGCAAAAGCCCCATAGGAAAATGGTAAAAGAAGGACCTGAAGTGGATATAGAAGTCCAAATGATGGAAAAGATGAACATAGAGGAACGAAAAAAGATGATATAAATGCAAACAATCCAAAAGAGTATGAATAAATGGCAAGGACAGCTGGGTCATGTGTGTATCACAAATACATGTAGATGCACCCATGACCCAGCTGTGACCCGTGGGTCCTTTACCCATTGTGGTTATTCTCTTTTTCTCCAAAGGGATTAAGAGACCAAAAGGGGGCAAAGTTCATTGTTGGGGTTTACATACACTTTAAGTTGTTTGCACATTATCACAATATTCTAAGCCAGGTTAACAACAGTAAAACCAGTAAATGTGGTCCTGGCAAGGGGGTATTACCTAGGGCCCCAGTGATAAAAATATTGTTGTGCTCATTACAGAACATTCGTAAGTTGACCACATAGATCTTTTCTTAGGGTAGCAAGAGAACTAAAAATGATACCATATGACCTGCCTCTTACAGTCAAGGATCAAGTCATAGCACTGCTCACTTTTTGCAGATGGGTATACAGGCTGCAACCTACCACTAGGAGCTGGAAGCTTTTTGGGACTATTTGTATTAGGCCCTAGCATGGACTCCTCATTTTTAGTAATAATAAACATATCAGCAGCCATTTCTACTAGGACATGGAAGCATGGCTACTACATACAATTTATTCCTAGATGCCCCCCTCATTGGCTTACCTGTTCGCTATCCCCTCTTCAGTCTATCATGAATGCTGCTGCCAGACTCCTCCACCTTACCAACTGTTCCATGTCCGCCAGCCCTCTCTGCCAATCTCACCACTGGCTTCCCATTGCCCAACAGATAAAATTCAAAACATTAACAATAACCTATAAAGCCATGTATAACTCTGCCCCAAATGATATCACCAAGCTTGTCTCCAAATATCACCCAAACCGTCCTTTCTGCTCCTGCCAAGACTTCCTGCTCTCTAGCTCCCTTGTCTCCTCCTCCCATGCTCCTCTCCAGGACTTCTCCAAAGCCTCTCCCATCCTCTGAAACTTGTTAGGGCTCATGTACACGGGGCATTTGGAAAACTCTTCTGAACGATGGAAACTGACTGCTGGAAAACGTAGGTTACAAAACGTCAGTTTAGCTGCGTTTGCATACCGCGTTTATGTGCATTTATGTGCATTTGCGTTTAGAAGCGTTTTTAAAAGATAACCTCAGAAGACCCTCCCAAATGCCCAGAATGAAATGAAAAACCGTAAATAACTATTTCAGACATTTTTAGAGGAATAGAGAGCAGAAGCAGAGAGAGCAGCATGTGTTGAGATGACCTGTCTTTTCTGGTTGTATTCACTATGGATCCCATAAGAGCATAATGTGGCACGTTCTACCATTTTTTCCTTCACGCAAAACCTGGAACTTACTGCGCTGGTGTCCTGGGTCCATTTAAATACATGGAAAACGCTCCGCATGCATTTTTGATGATGAAAAAAGGCTCTGGAGAGCATCTGGACATGGAACTGATATAAACGCTTCTAAACGCAAACACTTATAAACGCGGTTAACCACGTTTACACGCATTTACAAGTGTTTGGTGTTTGAAACACCGGTAAAATCTACTCCTGAACGCAAGTATGGTGTGTTAAAAAAAAAACGACTGTAAACTCAACTGCCTGTAAATGACTGTAAACAATGATGTGTACATGGACAAGGAAAACATTAGGGAGAGTTCAGGGGCTGCTGAGAAAAAACACTGAACAGCTCCTGAACGTCACTTTAGCAGCTGCAGTGTACATGAGCCCTAACCCCAATGTGTCGGATTATATCCTACTCTGCCCACTTTAGGCAATCTCGGAAAACCTATCTCTTCAGAGAAGCCTATCCTGCCTTCAGCTAATCGCCAAATCTTCTATTTCTCCCATCAGTTCATCCCACACAGGTATTACCTTTTTGTTCCACCAGCCCTTCCCTATTAGATTGTAAGCTCCCAGGGGCAGGTCCCTCCTAACCCTCTTGTATTTAAATGTATTGTTGCTGTATTGTCTCCCTTTTATATTGTAAAGTGCTGAGCAAACTGTTGGCGCTATATAAATTCTGTATAATAATAAGAAGATGTCTGAAGGGTGAACAAAGTGGTGCAACATGGATACTCGATAAACAGCCAGACAAGGATTCTAGCATTACCGCCATTGGTTTTTACACTATATAACCAAACATTGCAGATCACATACTTGGTATTGATTCCGTCCAATTCCAACATTTTAAAAAGTTCATTGCAGTTCTTCAGAAAAGTTGATGGCTTCATAGAAGGCCCATTTAACGTAGCAAGCACCTTTTCTTGATTTCAGATATGTGGCACCCCGGCTTATAAAGAAAAGCAGACCATTCATTGATTTATAAATGTTTCCAGTACAGATGTATTAACTAGTTTCTCTATAATTGCAGGAGCTGAACCGCGTCAGCCAGGGCACCATCGCCACAGAGATCCGTCCAGCTCCGGAGTTTTATTATGCAGAGGATTATCACCAGCAATATCTACACAAAAACCCAGATGGCTACTGTGGCTTGAAGGGGACCGGTGTCAGCTGCATTCTCTAGAGACCAGAGGATATGGTATCCCCCTCTCTTTCACAGGGTCAACTACATTTGTGCATTCAATAAAATCTGTTCCACAATCTAACTTACTGTCTTATAGTCAATGTTCTGCTGCATGGTTCTATTTGACCTAATATTAAACAGAAGTACATGAAAGAACTGTCTGTGGTGCTGTAGCAACCAATATGCTTCTCCCTATCATGTAACTAGGCATTTTATAAAAATAAATAAATAAAAAGATATGTATAATAAAAAAAACTGAAGAAAACTAGAGTGGTTACCTTAGCGACCAATTAAATTTTATCTTTCGGATGTAGAGTTGGGAATAGGCAACAATTGTATGCATTTATAACACAAAACAAAGTCGATAAAAACCATTTTATTAAAAATAAATAAATAATCTTTGGATGACAAAAAGGGGTTGATTTACCAAAGACCAATAGGTTGTTCACTTTGTAAGGGAATTTTCCCTAAGCTTAGTGATTGTGGTGAAAATTCACTTTGAAAAAAGTACTCAACTGCAAGGAAAAATCAAAATCAAAAAATTGATCACACATGGTTGGATGATGGAAGTCAGCAGAGCTGCACCAGATTCTTTGAGCTAAGGAAAAATCCCCTTGCAAAGTGAAAATTCTCTTGCAAAGTAAAAATTCCCCTGCAAAATGAACAGTCTTTAGGCTTTTAATAAATCAAGCCCAAAGCGTTTGGCTGGTCCCTATGGGCATCCGTTTGACTGTTTGTTCTGATTTTGTTTTTCTGGTTTTGAATAGACCCCAATCGGTGTAATGCAGGCCATAGATGGGATGAAAAACGGTGGCAAAGTGGCCGAAAAAAAAAAAAATCAGCCAATTTTCGGATCGTTAGTGCGGTAATCGGTCTGCCATTTTTAGTGATTTTTGCCCTTTTCGATTATCGGTCCTGCTGGAAAATAGTCAGCCAAATTTGTCGTTCTGCCAATTTTTGTGGCAATGATGGACAAATCTGCCGATCTTTTTCCGATTTTAAAAAATGCGCATGAGCAGTGACAGGAAAGAAGAAGGAAAAGAAGAAAAGGAAAAAAATAGAATATGAATGAGAAGAAGAAATAGAATATGAATAAAAAGAAGAAATAGAATATAAAGAAGAAGAAGAAATAGAATATGATGGAGAAAAAAAAAAAAAGAATTTCAGTCCGATATTATATTTGACATTTAAAAGTATAGCAACATTGTATCTATTTGTATCCGAATAGAAACATCTATCCGAAATGGATACAAATAGATACAATGTTGCAACTTTCTTCTTATTATTCATATTCTATTTCTTATTCTTCTGCATATTCAATTTCTTCTTCTTATTCATATTCTATTTCTTCTTCTGCATATATTCTATTTCTTCTTCTATTTCCTCTTTTTATTCATATTCTATTTCTTCTATTTCTTCTTCTACATTATATTCTATTTCTTCTTTTTATTTATATTCTATTTCTTCTTTTTATTCATATTCTATTTCTTCTTCTTCTTCTGCATATTCTATATAATTGCCGGCTGTAGACGGGGCGAAAATCAGCCGACTTTTTTTTTACCAATGGTGGTAACATCGGCTGATTCAACGACCGATTTTTGCGTTTTTCTAAAAATAAAAACTGTCCGGTTTTCTCCCCGTCTATGGCCTGCATAGGACATTTTCATTCAGGGAGCCCTAGTGTTTTTTTTTTACACCTTTATCAGAGCGAGAACAAGTTTTAGTACCAGTGGTCACTGTATTTAAATGCTGTAATGGAGTTTAGAGTGTACACATTTGTTAGAGCATGCTGAGAAGCAATAATAAGACATCAACAAAAGGTCACATATGTCATGTATATAAAAGAAAAGGGCTTTTTGTTTTCTACAGTACAGGAATGACCCAGATGTGCATAGCAGATGCAGAATGTTAAAAAACAAATGTCTCATTGAAAAATGCTCATTTTTAAGTAGGATGGTTGTAAAATCCTGCAATCTCTATGCGTGGTGCAGTCTAATGCTTTCTTTGCAATTTACAAACAATTTGTCATGGTAAAGCAGGTCAGGCAGATAATCAAATATTGTAAAAAAATGCGTTTTGTCAGCTTTGTTGCTTCCTGCTTGTAGAGACTCTTGAAATCTCTTTACCCAACAGGGATTGTTGAAATATTGCTGGTCGCTTTAGATGGTAGTGATGGGCCGAATACCCCTCTGATTGGTTCACGGTCGAACATTCAAACCTACAGAGTGTTCCACCACGAACTTCGAACACGAACAGTTTACAGAGCGGTATCTGGCAGCATCTGAGTATGTGGTAAGATACCGCTCCGTTACTAAAATACCGCATGTTATATTATGAAGTCACGCGGTATTTTAGTAGTGAAACATTCATTCATGTTTCAGCTGTCAGTGGGGTTCCCCGCTGACAGCTGAATGTAAAAAAGAATTGTTGGCATTGCCCGACAATTAAAAAAAAAAAATAAATAAAAAAACAATGTGGTATCCCCCCATCCATACCAAGCCCTTTGGGTCTGATATGAATTTTGAGGGGAGCCCCCACGACAAAAATTTGTCCCTCCCAAAATCCATACCAGATACTCATCCGAGCATGCAGCCTGGCAGGTCAGGAAAGGGGAGGGCGAGCGAGCCCCCCCTCCTGAACCATACCAAGCCAAATGCCCTCAACATGGGGGGGTGATTCCCCCCCCCCACCAAAAACACCTTGTGCTCATGTTAATGGGAACAAGGGCCTCTTCCCCACAACCCTGGGCTGTGGCTGTGGGGGTTTGATAGGGGGCTCCCAGATCCCACCCTCCCTCCCCATGTGAATGAGTATGGAGTACAGGGTACCGCTACTCATTCACAAAAAAAAATGTAGTGTAAAAAGACAGTCTTTGACAAGTCCTTTATTTATTAATTTATAACAAAGGACTGACAGCTGCGCTACGATGAGTTTTTAAATACTTGTGACGTCATCCTGTGCTGTAATTGACCAAAGCATTGCACCTGACCTGTGGTCCTGTAATTGACCAAAGCATTGCTTTGACCAATCACAATGCACTGTCAGGGTGCAGTGCATTGTACGGCACAGCAGGCGAACGGCCCGCTGAACGCCCATATCGCTTGTGTGTTCAGCGAATGGTCAGCCCAATACTATTACATGGTAAATTCAACCAGGGCTCTTTTGTCAGAGAATAGGTGCAGGAACTTCCCAACTTTTGAGTCACCCCTGTCTCCACCCCCTACCCACCTCCTACCACCATTCCTTGGCTCCTCCTTCTACCCATCTACCAGTACCACCCCTTTCAGAGAATACAGAACCAAGTATCATTTTGTGGTGCTAAATAATGTGTTAATGATAACAAGAAAAGCAGTAATACACAGTAGATCCCCTGCAGCCAGCAACAATTGATCCCCAATACAATAGACCCCCCCCAGCAACAATTTACCCCCCACAACAAAATACCACTACAGTAATTCTAGACCCCCAACCGATCTCCCAACAACCAGCAACAATAGAACCCTCCCTGAACAGGAGATCCCTTCCAGCAACAACTGATCCCCCAGCAACAATAGACCCCCATACAAAAATAGATTCCCATTAGTGACAATGGATCCCCCAACAGCCAGCATCAAATAGAGGCAGCACAGTGGCTAAATGGTTAGCACTTCCGCCTGGCAATACTAGGGTCGCTGGTTCTAATCCCAACTACGGTACCACCTGCCTGGAGCTTGCATGTTCTCCCTGTGCCTGTGTGGGTTTCCTCCAGATACTCCGGTTTCCTCCCACACTCCAAAGACATGCTGGTAGGTTAATTGGATCCTGTCTAAATTGGCCTTTGTATGTGAATGTAAGTTAGGGACTTTAGATTGTACACCCCTTGAGGGTTAGGGACTGGTGTGAATGTACAATATATATGTAAAGCGCTGTGTAAATTGACAGCGCTATATAAGTACCTGAAATAAATAAATAGACTCTCTAGCACACCCCAGCACCTCTTGCCATTATATACATTCAGTGCTGGAGGTGCCGGAACTGCATTGCCCCACATTCCTGTTGAAAAAAAAAAAAGCCCTGAACGCAACTATGGAATATTTGTGGTATGTCAATTGAATTCAGTTTGGATGGTGCTGTGTGAGCAGAGCTGTATTCCGTGGACACAGCTGTGTCTATTTTCTGCATGGCACTAAGCAAATGTAGCTACAATTAATGCTTAGGAAACGCAAGTAATTCTATTCGTATTTATTTATTTCAGGTACTTATATAGCGCTGTCAATTTACGCAGCGCTTTACATACATATATTGTACATTCACATCAGTCCCTAACCCTCAAGGGGCGTACAATCTAAAGTCTTTAACTCACATTCATACACACATATTAGGGCCAATTAACCTACCAGCATGTCTTTGGAGTGTGGGAGGAAACCGGAGTACCCAGAGGAAACCCACGCAGGCACAGGGAGAACTTGAAAACTCCAGGCAGGTGGTGCCGTGGTTGGGATTTGAACCAGCGACCCTAGAGATGTCCTTGGTACCTTTCATAGGCTTTTTTGGGTGTGGTTTGAGTGTGGGCGAGGACACGGGCCCCATGATGCCCTATTGCCCGGGGGCCCTATGAGTTGTCAGTCCGCCCCTGGTAAGAAGTAAAGGTAGGGGACCATATAGTGAAATTCCATTTATTAATAGAAACAAACAATGGATATTGCACTCACATTAAACAGAATGATTCCAAGCATAAAATGTCGCTCCACCAGCCGGATATGACGTCACCATGTCTCACAGCTGATGTGTGGGAGGCCATTGGGCCACAGGTAGAGCTGCACTGTTTGCACTAATTCTATGGACTATTTGATGGTGCCACCATATTTATTTATTGAAATTGTGATTGTATTTTGGATGTATAATGGAGCGCTTATCTACCTATTCTTACATAATTTTCTGTGGGTTAGCTGCACTGAGCCATAGACTTCTATTATACCCTACAGCAGGGCTTAAAATTTCAAGTCCTGAGCTACTAGCCA